AGACCTCATCTCTACAATAAATCAAAAAATCAGCCAGGTGTGGTAGCGCATGCCTATAATTCCAGCTACTTGGAAGACTGAGGTGGAAGGATCGCCGGAGCCCAGCAAGTCGAGGCTGCGGTGCCACTCCAGTCTGGGCGACAGAGTGAGACTCCAACTCAAAAAAATAAAAATAAGCTGTGATTATGCCACGGCACCCTAACCTGGATAAGAATGAGATACCAACTGAAAAAAAAAGTGCAGAGCCTAAGGCTATATCCATGTATTCTGAATCAGAATTTGAATTTTAACAAGATATTCAATTCATTGTTGTAGAAATTAAAACTTGCTGAGGACCTTCTGACTCACTAGGAGTTTTGCTTCTGAGCAGTGTATGTAACGTATACTGTGTGATGTAAACATAGCAATTAAAAATGTACATAAGCCAGGCTCAGTGGCTCAGCCTGTAATCCCAGTGCTTTGGGAGACTGAGGTGAGTGAATTGCCTGAGCCCACGGATTCAAGACCCGCCTGGGCAATGTGACGAGACTTCATCTCTACAATAAAATAAAAAATTAGCCGGGCATGGTAGCACACACCTGTAGTTCCAGCTACTTGGAAGGTTAAGGTGGAAGGATTGCCAGAGCCCAGCAGGTCAAGCCTGAGGTGGCTAGGAGTATAGCATTGCACTCCATTCTGGGTGACAGAGTGAGAGTCTAACTCAAAAAAAAATGTACATGCCTGTGTTGGTGTCCAAATTTATGCTGTATCACTCACAAAAATAGAGTGTCTACACTGCCTGAGTGGATTTAATTTCATCCTTTTTCCCCACACTTAATGCTTTAGAGGATATTTCTGTGTCACAAATTTTCTTATTGCATAATAATAGTTGTCTTGTCAGCTGGACCCTGTTCTCTTCACTCTTGTTTTACCTAGAGGCCCTGGTGACTTGGTAAATATGTCTTTTTGTTGTTTTCAGGGGCTGTTGTCATTCAAGGATGTGGCCATAGAATTCTCTCCAGAGGAATGGGAATGCCTAGACTCCACTCAGCGAATATTGTACAGAACTGTGATGTTAGAGAACCATAGAAACCTGGTTTTTCTAGGTGAGGAAACTTTCTTTTATTTGTTTATTTATTTATTTTGAGTTGGAGTCTCACACTGTCACCCAGACTGGAGTGCAGTGGCTGCTCCTGGACACTGCAGCCTCGACCTGTTGGGATCCAGTGATCCTTCCACCTCAGCCTTCCAAGTAGCTGGAACTACAGGTGCGTGCTACCATGCCCGGCTAATTTTTTGATTTTACTATAGAGATGAGGTCTCACCAAGTTGCCCAGGTGGGTCTCGAACCCAAGGGCCCAGGCAATCCACTCACCTCAGCCTCCCAAAAGCATGGGATTACAGACTGAGACACCAAGCCCAACAGTGAGAAAACTTTCAAAACACAATCCCTATTTCATACTAAGGATTTTATGTCCTTCCTTTAAAGAATGTTTTCTGGGGATTTCTGCTTTGCATGAACGAATTTCAGATTCCTGCTGTCAACGAAAAGTTGATAAGCTGTCAGCATAGAAAATAAAAAATTAATGACGTTTCATTTTGACATGAAGCCTTCTCCATTTTAAATTCACCAGTGTCCTTCTAATTATATTATTGGTAAGTTCAGAAATTTAGTGGCATAGATATCATTGCCCACAGCTCAATCCAATGGCTGTTATAAGTTATTGACTCACTAGTAGTGAACTAAGAACTCACAAATTTAAGGCCAGCAATGGTGGCTCATCCATGTAATACCAGCACTTAGGTGGCTGAGTTGAGAGGACTGCCAGAGCCCATGGGTTCAAGAACAGCCTGGACAACTTGGCAAGTCCCCATCTCTACATGAAATCAAAAAATTACCTGGGAGTGATAACGCACACCTGTAGTTTAGGTTACTTGGTAGGCTGAGGGAGAAGAATTACCTGAGCCCAACAGGTGAGCACTGGGGTGGCCATGAGCTTTCCACTGCACTCCAGCCTGGGTGATAGAGTGAGACTCCAACTTAGAATAAAAAGAAACCCATAAATTGAATGTTCTATTTAAATGTTCTAAATGTTTTATTGCAAAACTGTTGGGATTAATTTTCTATAATCTTGTATAATGTGTTCCCTACTGATCACAATACTAGATTTGTAATCGAAGAACTCCATCAAGAGTCATGTTACTTTTTTCCAATTAAAAAGGGCTTGCTGTCTCTAAGCCAGACCTCATCATGTGTCTGGAGCAAAGGAAAGAGTCCTGGAATGTGAAGAGACATGGCACATTACCCAAACTTCCAGGTAAGTGGGAGTGAATGAAGCAGATGACACAGGTTGAGGAATCAGACCTGGAGATGTGGTTTGGTAAGGTGGTCTCCTCCAATGGAAATGGTTTCTTAGAAGTCTGGGATTCTTTCTCTTGCTGTCACAAAGAGACAGATGTTATTCCATGTTTTAAAATTCTCTAAAAACTCTGCTTCTTCAATGATCCTTCAAGTTTATAGAGGAAATCAAATTCCATTTAATGGTTTGTTAGGAACTGCATGATCTGACTACCTTTCTGATGCTTTGGAGACATGCAAATATTTGCTTATTTATTTGAAAATCAATGGTAAACCATTTTTTATGTTTTCTTTTGCATCATGGTTGGAAGTATGTGAGCAATGATTTCATCATCTGTTTGAGAAATTTTAAGAACACTCCGGACACATGTTACATGTTTTGTAATTTATGATTTTCTATACTAGGGATATTTCCAATGGTTATATTTAAATTCATACTCCATAGTTCTACCTGAATACAAATCATCTCTTTTGATAGAAGAAATTCTTTTATTTTACTTAAATTTTATTTTATTTATTTATTTATTTTTTGAGTTAGAGTCTCACTCTGTCACCCAGACTGGAGTGTAGTGGCTGCTCCCAGCCACCGCAGCCTCAACCTGCTGGGCTCTGGAGATCCTTCTGCCTCAGCCTTCCAAGTAGCTGGAACTACAGGCGTGTGCCACCACTCCTGACTCATTTTAGTTTATTGTAGAGATGAGGTCTCACCAAGTTGCCCAGGTGGGTCTCGAACCCATGGGCTCAGGCAATCCACTCACCTCAGCCTCCCAAAGCGCAGGATTACAGGCTGAGCCACTGAGCCCGGCTTAAATTTTATTTTTATAGTATAATGTGAACCTGGTGGTTTTTCTTTATATTCAAATATTTAAGTATAGTATATCATGTGGAGGATTGGTAAACATATATTAAGCTCCTACATGTTACCTTTTGTCTTAATAACTCTTATTTTATAATTTTCTTTGGTATGAAGCTTTGTACTAGCTCATATATGCATATTCTCAAACACATATTTACACATGTTTATGTGTGATTAGCATATGATGTTTAATACAAAAATAAAAATTTATAACCATATGTTGTAAGTAATGTAATAATTTGATATGCCTATACAGTGTGAAATGATGATTACAATTATATTAATGAACATATCAACCATCTTACATAGTTGCCATTTTTATGTTTTTTTAAGGAGAACACATAATGTCTTCTATTTTAGCAAATTTTCTAACCATACGAGACATCATTATTAATGATAAGCCACTATGGTACACATTCATTCCCTGAAACTCAGTTATAACTCAAATTTTGTAACCATTGAAAAACATCTCCATTTTATCACCTTCAGGCCCTGGTGACCACGCTGTACTTTCTTCCTCTATGAGTACAAAGTTTTTTCATTCCACAGGAGTGATATCATATAGGATTTTTTTTTCCCAAGTTGGAGGCTCACTCCGTCACTTGGGCTGCAGTGCAGTGGCATGCCAATGACCACCACAGTTTCCTTGCTAGGCTCAGGTGATCCTTCCTTATCAATCTTGCATGTAACTGTAACTACAAGTGTCGGCTGCCATGCCAAGTTTATTTTTGTATTTGTCATAGACCCAAGCTTTCACCAAGGTACCCAGAGTGGTCTTGAACCCCTGAGCTCAGGCAATCTTCTCACCTCAGTCTCACAATGTATTGAGAATACAGACTTGAGCCACTCTACCCATTCTCATGCAGTATTGTGTGTGTGTGTGGCTGGCTCACTTCAGTTAGCATAATGTCTTACAATGTCATCCATAAGGTTGAAATTGCAGAATGCTTTAAAAATTTTTTGGTTGAATCATATGCTATTGTGTATATATACGTGTGTGTGTGTCTGTGTTCTTTCTTTTTTTTTTTGAGTTGGAGTCTTACTCTGTCACCCAGACTGGAGTGCAGTGGCCACTTCTGGCCACTGCAGCCTCACTCTACTGGGCTCCTGTGATCCTTCCACCTCAGCCTTCCAAGTAACTGGAACTATAGGCACACGTTACCATGTCTGGCAATTTTTTTTTTTTTAATGTAGAGACTTGCCAAGTTGCCCAGGCAGGTCTCAAACCTGTGGGCTTAGGCAATCCACTCACCTCTGCCTCCTAATGGGCTGGGATTACAGGCTGAGCCACCAAACCTGGCTCATTATTTTCTTTTCTTTTGTTTTTCCCTTTTTTTTTTTTTTTTTTTTAGTTGGAGTCTTACTCTGTCGCCCAGACTGGAGTGCAGTGGCCACTTCCAGCCACCACA